CTTTCTTCCCCCCCCACCCCCCCAAACCCCCCCAAACCGGCCTAAACAGATAGCCCAAGCCCAACAGCCCAAAAAAAATGAAAAAAATTAAAAAAAAATAGATTTGGCCCGGACCCGGGCCCGAACCGGCCGGGCCGGGCCGTCAAACCCATGAACCGAGCCCGGAACCGCCCCACCCCCGGGCCTCCGGCCCGAACCGGACCCGGACCCGGAAAACCGGGCCGGGCCGGGCCCGCACAGTGGCGGGTCGGGCCGGTCCCGGGCCGGGCGGCCCGAACCGAGGCCATGCCTACTCCTACATATATATAAATAGACTCCTTGGTAGATTATAAGTATATTATTAGGACTCCACCACAATAATATCTCATGATTAAATTATTTTAAAGTGCTATAATTTTTTTATTTGTATTCTGTTATAAAAAATATATCAAAATTCATAACTTTTTATTATCTTTCATATGACACCAATATTGAATATATAAAAATAAAAAATAATTTAACATTAAAAAATGTGTTTTAAAAGTGCTATATCTTTTTTATTGTACTCGGACTGATATAAAACTATATCAAATTCATAATTTTTTTTATCTGTCATGCGACATCAATGTTGCATATATAAAAAATAAAAATTAATTCTATTAATTTTGTAGTTTGGGATCGTTTTTTACAATGCCCACAAATCCACAATTAAAGAGAAGTGATAACTAGCTTAGAATAAAACCGCACAAACCCCATCACTTTTATTTATGGGAAAAATAGTAAAAATACTCCAAACTTGATGGGGTGTGAAGTTAACACCCCAAACTTGCGTATGTAATTTAAATATCTCAAACTTTGTATAAAAAGTTATTTTCTCACCCTTGTCATGTATTATTTCTTCCAAAAATGTAAATTTATGGGGTTAATTGCATTAATTGCAATGGAAGTTTATAATGTTAATTGTGTTTTCATGAATTCTAAAATATTTTAAATTATACAATTAACACCATAAATTTACATTTTTGAAAGAAATAATACTTGACTATGGTGCCAAAATAACTTTTTATATAAAGTTTTTGGTATTTAAAATACATATGCAAGTTTGAGGTGTTCATCTCACACCCCTTCAAATTTTGGGGTATTTTAATTATTTGACCGACGATAAAGAAAACGGATCCCTGTACGCACTCAAATTATTTAAAATAATAATAATTACATATTTAGAAACTACATTAAAAACTTTACAAAGTCGAAAAAACCAGAATTAAATTTGATAAAATTTTGATATATAAAGTAAGAGATTAAAAGTGATTTGTGTTTACGAAGTGAATGGGAAAAAATATCTTACAAAATGGGATTAAAAGAGTATTTAAAATATATTTTATTAAGAGAATATGGAAAATGTTATGGGAAAATAGGTAAAATGATATAATTTATAGTAACTCCTGTCAATTTAACCAGAGAACAATGTTGAGTTACAATAAGCTAACGTCAATTTTACTAAGGGTTGAATATGTGTTTAGTTCCCGCAAACATGACAATTTTAGTTTTTAGAAGGTTTTAACTACATACTTGGAAACGTCAAAAATTAGATTTACATCCTTTTAACTCTCATATTTGTCTCGAAAAAATATTTTAAAAAGGATTGGAATGCAAAAAATCTACTTCCTTACTAATAAAGTACAACCATCCAATTGAAATTGAATTATCAATTAATTGCTATTGAGTACAATTAATAAATTGCTATTGAGTACAATTGATAAATTAAGTAATTGCTATCAAGTACAAAATCAATGTAGCAATTAATATGGTTTACGTTTATTAGAATCCTAAAATTTTCTTAATAATGAAATACTCCATAATATTTTGTTGAAACTAACGTTTATTACATTCCATATTTAAAATATGTCAATAATTCATTTGCTCTTACGAATGCTATTCATACATCTTTGGTCAGATTTTAGCTATTCATAAAAATCTATATTGAAAAAGAATTTTCAATTTTATACGTCTTTGGTCAATTCATATATAGAACTTATTTATTCACTCATCAAATAAGAAGTTTCGATTTTATCTTTTCATTAGAACTAAACTATTTTTGTGAATAAACCCTATTTTAATTTGTGAATGAACCTATTTATTGGTGTGATGTACGGACTACCAATAATATGCGATAATCATGAGTTCGATTCTTATGTACCCGTACAACTTTTCTTGAAAACACATGTCAAGTAATTTCATTTCATATTCATACATATTTATGCATATGTAAAGTATGTAGTATAAATTTCTTATGCTACAGTATTAAATTGGGTTTAATCTTGAAAATTATTTTATTTTTAAAAATAAAAAATATAAAAGAATAAATTGAATTTAAAAATTGGATTTTATATTTATTTAGAAATTTAAAAACATATGATTACTTTTCTTATAAGATACCCAATAAAATTAAAATTTAAAAATTTGAATTGAGATTTTCATATTAAAGAATTGATAATTTGATAAAATACTGATAAAGGATAAAATAACAAGTAAATTGTGAGTACATACACATTGTGTGATTCTTCAAATTAAATATAAATCATATTTATCTATATTTTTATATCTTCCATAAAAGTATGTGATAAGTTTAGTATACTAAATGTGTATGTACTTAGGATAAGAAGAAATAATAAATAATTTCTAATTTTTACATTCTCCATATTCATTTCACATATGGATTATCGAGATAAGTAATTGAATTAGTAGTGATCAAATGTATATAATATAATAAGTTAATTATGAACACATGGTGATATTATATTCTTGAATTAAATATGAAACATATTTACCGTTATTGTTTTGTTCTCCATATTATTCTAGGATTCATATTTTCTGCCGAATGTATGTGCATGCATTGGCGAAACGGAAAATAAATAGATTGATTTATTTTAAATTTTGAATCCGGTTTTCTAATGAATATGTATACATTGTGTAATAATTAAAATAGTTTAACACATCTATTTTTATCTACAAGGGGGCCCATATTATATACACAAAAATGTGATAAGAATAAATGTCCTACAAACTAATACATTAAGGAATTGTATGAGATGTTTTTTATATTTGTTCCATGACTATTTTTAGTATATGAAACAAATACTCGCTCCGCATTGAAATGAATTGCAAATCTGACACTTATTAAGGATAGACAATTTATTAACAATAATTGTCAAACAACCCCATTATTATTAAAAATTGTCTATTATCCCCATAATAGACACTTATTTTGGGGCTGTTTAACAATAATAATGGGGCTATTTGACCCAAAAAATTGTCAAACAACCCCGAATGAACACTTATTAATAATAGACAATTTATTTGCAAATATAATCTCCAACTTTGTTGTAATGTTTAAGCCTTATGGTGAGAGACGTCATGCAATTGTGATATATGAAAAATGAGCATATGCCATTCAGAATGAAGATTGTTATTCGTGGGGAGACTTTAGATCAAAAGTGTGCATGTTCAAAAGTGTGTATGTTTTGAAGGGAGTTAGTGAGCTGAGAGCCGATGTGATTATAGTTGTGTTTCCTATATCACAAGGAAGAATATTGTTCTTTGAGATCATTGTTTAGTTCTTCTTCAAATGAGACTAAAGACATATCGCGAGGTGAAGAGTGGGTGGGGAAGGGGATAGGAATGGTGGGATACTATTTTAGGTTAGTGTAGTCTAGCTTAGATAGATATATAGTTATATTTGATACATTGTATTGTGTTACTTTTGAATGTTTTTTTTATATATACTTACATTTCATCCAATATATATATGAAGTCAAACAATGAATTATTTATTTATAGAATAAAATATATATTTTACAAAGTATTCAAACAATCTCAACATGCACCCGGGGCAACGCCCGGGTAAAACACTAGTGGACTTTAAAAATCATACAGGAAACCTCAAAAACTAATTCCTTGATAATGATATAATTGAGAAAAACAAATCTTAAAAATCAAGAACATGAATTCTATTCATATATGAATTTATGAAATGAGTTCATTTAATTCTATAAGTCAATGTTTCAAAATGAAGGTAATATGTCTTCAATAGTAAGACTGCATGTGTTAAAATTTGCAAAATCCAAATTTGTCTAAATGATATCTCAAATTTATGTTCACTTTTCTAATTAAGGATATTTTCAATTAAAATAAAAAAAATTATCTCCTTTATGAAAGTTAAAGTTAATTAAGGATCATTATTATTCACATTTTATACATTATCTTAAATCAAAATTATAAAAATACAATTATGAATTATGAAAATTTTGTCGTACAATTAAAAATGCAATTAAGAATTCAACAAAGTTCTACACATTATTTATGTAAATTTTCTCAATGTCCATAGACTTGATATTTGCTATATCAAATCAGTTCAGATTAGATCAAATTCAGTAATATTAGGTCAAATCAGATCAGATCATAAAATTTCAGTGCAATCAAAAACATCTTTAAATGAGTCATCTATAATCAGAACTCCATATTACATTAGATTAAATCACTTGATATATTCTACACGTTCTGATGTCCTGAAACAACACTAATAAGAATAATAAAGATTTTTTTTAATTGGATATAAATCTTCTAAATTTAAACATATTTGGATTCTTTATAGAGTTATTTGAAACTATTATCTTTTTTATCAATCCTAATTATGGGGAACTAATTGATTTACTTGGATCATGATTCATCTAATTATCGATCCATCCATTCCATATGTTTTCGGATTTGATTTGGCAGGAGCATAAATTGTATAATTGTGATCCATAGAAACAAAAATAGAAATATATTAGACACACAAACCCTTCAAAAATGATGACAGTAGCAGGAAAGAGGAAGAATTTTTTCGTACATGGCTAAAATGAGAGCAAGAACAAACAATCATATGAGAGAGCTAGTTGTATCAAGTTCAAGAAGAAGTTCCACTTTTGGGTCAAGAAAAAGAAGCATTTGTAGAAGCCTTGCTGTATGTTTGTGAACTGCTTTGGCTTTGGCCAGAAGACGATGATTGGGTGAAGTAAAAAATGGGTTCTTGGACACTATCACCATCAGCAAAAACCTGAAGAAGACGAGGGACCGGCGGCATCTTCACATCCAAAACCCCTTCAAGGGAAGAATTTCACTTTTCCATCTCTGGAATGGTCAGAGTTGCGTGTTCCGGATAAGAGTTCAAAGAGCACCATTCCATAACTGTAAACATCTGCTTTAGGAGTTATGGCCACTCCAGTTATCCATTCGGGCGCAAGGTAACCTCTGGTTCCTCTCATTGTGGTCAGCACTCTACTGAAGTCGCGCCCGACAAGCTTTGCCAGACCGAAATCTGCAACTTTAGGACACATTTTGGAATCAAGAAGAATGTTTTCGGGCTTGATGTCACAGTGTATGATGCAATCCCTGCACTTCTCATGCAGATAACTCAATCCTCTTGCTATCCCCACTGTGATCTGGTACCTGCAGCAATATTACATGGATTCCGTGTATTCAGTGTTGGATCTAAAGCGCTCGAATTTGGGCGTTCGGCATTACTTTACCATTAAAATTTGGAAAAATTGACAGTAATAATCCAACTATTGGCGGTCCGCTCATAATAATCCCAACTATCGATTATTTCAGAATAATCCCAACTTTATGGACCTTCTGTTAATAATGGTCCGACGTGACCTGCTATAATTAAATTCTTATAGTTTCTAAAGTGGATGAGAAGAGATATAGCAAGTAATCCCTATAAATAATTCTAACTTTTAATTTTTACGCTTAATTTCTATATGAAATTCACTTGTTATCTGGTCATGGACCATTATTGGCGGACGGTCCCTATAGTTGGGATTATGCAAAAATAATCAATAGTTGAGATTATTGTTAGCGGACCGGCAATAGTTCGGATTATTATTTTGAATTTTTCCTTAAAATTTTGAATAATAGCATTGCTTCATGCAACAGTTCTACATGTGCATCCTTTTTAAACAAAAATGCTAGCAAATTAAGGTAAGAAATGCTATTTACATAATAAATTATTATACCATTTGGACACGCGTGTTTGAATTTTTTCATGAACACTAGATCTGTGGAGCAAGAATTTATTCAAGGAAATAAATTATAATCTGTATACCACATGTATCTTTCATGAACACTATACTATGATGAAAGAACTATAAATATATACAAAGTATGAGGTAATGATTGTTATACTCCGTATATATATCGTGGCAACTTTTCTTGATTATATTGATATTCTCATATTCCTAATGAGAGCATATGGACTGGTGTGTTTTATGTCATTTCATATGAATTCTATTTATTATCATAGACATATAAATCAATACACTTTTCATTTTCATTTTCATTTACCCCAGTGCCGCAAAGTCTCCCACCTATGGTGGGGTAAGGGGGGTCGGATGTACGCAGTCTTACCCCTGTACTAAAGCACAGAGAGACTGTTTCCGGATGACCCATGATGAAAATCGTGTCTAAAATTGCATGGACTGACTGCTGCTTCCTAACAAAGAAGCGCAGACAGTTTAGTGAGCCAGTTTAGTGAGCCATTTTGCTTTATTCCATCATATTCTCAAGCCAAATATTGAAGTTTAATAGTATTTGTATTGCTTCACATGTATTATTTTTATTTTAATACTATACATGTATATGTATTATTCCACTTACGTAGGAAAGTCTCTTGCATGGGACATGCACTCTCTCCTATCATTGATTGCTTCCTTTCCATGTATTATAAGTATCCGCACATACAATATATTTATGAGGAGGAGAACTTCTCCATTGCCTTTCATTTTTTTTCTCATATTATTGATATTATATCATTTATCAATTTTATCATGGTATCAGAGCCTAAATCCTGAGTACATACTCTCTATTCACAAACCTTGCCATACGTTTTTTTTTACTCCTTGTAAGCTATGGCAGTTGATGGTGAAACCAAGCCTGCCGGTAGTGAGTATGGCGATTTAGTCATAGACTCCATGTCAACCAAGACTAGAGGAACAATCCAAGCTGGTCATTATGATTCACGTGTTGGGGGCAGAGAGCAACGTTTACAAGGAAATCAAAACTATCATAGGCAACTTCCAGCTAAAGTGGCACACATGGATAGTCAAAATAAAAATGACGGTGGTGGATTCTCTGATGAGCAATTACACAGAATAGCTCAAATTATGAAATATGAGCTACACGACACAACACATGCCTCTACTTTATCAGCCCAGATAAATACAACACGTATTTCACTCAGAGATCGCTCTTGGATCATTGATTCTGGAGCAAGTGAACACATCATTTGCAATAATGATGGCCTCATTAACATTCAAAATCATATTTCACCAGCCATGGTCAAAATTCCTAATGGTGATTCAGCTCATGTTCACGCTATCGGTAGCCTACGCCTAGCCAATGGACTCCTACTGCAACGAGTCCTATATATTCCTGATTTTCAGTGCAATTTACTCTCCGTTAATCGGTTGATAAATGATTGCAATTGCACACTTACATTTTTTAATGATTTGTGTATTTTACAGGACTTACCCTCGAGGAAGCTGATTGGGGTGGGCAAATGCCGTGATGGTCTCTATTACCTAGAGTCAGCAGAAAATAAGGGGGTGGCAATGTCAGTTTCTGTCAATCTTGACTTATGGCATCAGCAGTTGGGTCATGCATCAGATCAAAGGTTACACAATATTGCTCATCTTCAAGGATCTAAACGAGCCCACAGCTTCTGTGACTCGTGTATTCGGGCAAAATAGACTCGTCTACCATTTCCAGTCAGTACTATTAAATCATCTCGTTGTTTTGAATTAATACATTGTGATATTTGGGGAGGCTATAATTGTGAGTCCATTACCGGGGCACGCTATTTCTTGACCATAGTTGATGATTTCACAAGAGCTGTTTGGGTCTATTTAATAAAAACTAAATCTGAGGTTCCCCAAACTTTGATTCAGTTTTTTAACATGGTTGGTACCCAATTTGAAAGGCGAATTAAAAGAATACGAGCTGATAATGGTGTTGAATTTCAAACCATTATTTTACTCGATTTTTATGGACAAAATGGAATACTGTTGGAAACGTCATGCACTGACACGCCCCAATAAAATGGTGTTGTTGAACGCAAGCACAGACACATACTAGAAGTTGCCAGGGCCCTCCGTTTCGAGTCAGGTTTACCCATCAATTTTTGGGGAGAATGCATTCTTACAGCTGTCTATATTATAAATAGACTCCCATCACCAATCATTTCAAATAAGAGTCCTTATGAAATGTTGTTAGGAAAATTACCAACTTATGACCATTTGCGGGTTTTTGGGTGTTTGGTATATGCACACAATAACAAACGGAAGGATAAGTTCAGCGAAAGGGGGAGTCCTTGTATTTTTCTTGGTTATCCAAATGGTCAAAAGGCTTATCGTGTGTTTGATTTGGAAAAACATGTCATGTATAGCTCTCGGGACGTCACATTTTGTGAATCAATTTTTCCATTCAAAATTAATTTTGACCCAGAATTGAATTTTGGAGCCATGATTGATAAAGTTTATAATCAAATTGTTAATCACAAATTGGACAAAATAATTCGATCTCACCCATTTTGTCCGGCATCTAGCCGATACATCTCTCGTGAGCTTCTCTCTCCAGCGGCGGCCAGTGGGACCCCTATGAGTAGCAGCCACATAAACTCTGAGCAACAGCTGCATGGGAGTCCATGTAATACGGGTCATTCATTTGGACAGCTGCAAGGTAACAACATGGAAGAAAATTCCAATTTTCTGGAGTGTACCACACCACACGTCACCTCCTTGGACCAAGTCAGTAACTCTCCCAGACTACAATCACATGGTCTCCATCCTCCAAATTTGGACATTACCTTCATATCAAATCAGGGTGATAGTGTGTTGATGGGAGAAACGCCGCCTCACGAAGATTTAAGTGGTAATCAGCATATTCATACCATGCTGCCTGGCCCACATGATACACGAAATCCGACTAATCCCCCAGTATCTCAAAATGAGCCAAAACGCAATAAAAGAATTCGGCAACCATCAACACGTCTGGTAGATTATGAAACTGATCTGCCACCCTCCCTTATTCCATCACTGTCCACCACCGATCATGCTAACTCCGTGGTATATCCTATTTCACATTTCATTAATTATGATAAGTTTTCTCCGACTCACAAAGCTTACTTAGCTGCCATCACAACACGTGATGAGCCTGAGCATTTCTCTCATGCAGTACAGGATCCATTATGGCGAGAAGCCATGCAAAAGGAAATTAATGCTCTCGAAGAAAATGACACTTGGACACTAGTCGATTTACCTCCTGGAAAAAAGGCGGTTGACTCCAAATGGGTTTATAAAATTAAATATAAACCTAATGGAGATGTGGAACGCTACAAAGCCAGACTTGTTGCTAAAGGTTTTACCCAGGTTGAAGGTGTTGACTTTCATGAAACTTTTGCACCCGTCGCCAAACTCGTCACTGTACGGTGTTTGTTAGCCGTTGCTGCTAAACGCAATTGGATTGTCCATCAATTGGACGTAAACAACGCATTCCTACATGGTGATCTTTCCGAGGATGTCTATATGCGTTTACCACAGGGTTTTATCAAAAGGGGTGATACACGTGTTTGCAAACTACACAAATCACTGTATGGTCTTAGGCAAGCCTCTCGTAATTGGTACCACAAATTTACTGAAGCATTAGTCAGGATCAATTTTCATCCCTCACGAGCAGATCACTCCCTTTTTATTTTTAAAAGGGGATCAATTAATACTTTTGCTCTAATTTATGTGGACGATGTAATTTTGGCAGGGACTGATCTTGCTCACATCAACTTTGTCAAGAAATATTTAAATGCCAATTTTAGCATCAAAGACTTGGGAAAATTAAAATATTTTCTTGGCATTGAAGTCGCTCGCTCTCCAGAAGGTTTTGTATTAAGTCAACGCAAATACACTCTTGACATCTTAGCCGAATGTGGAACTCTTGCCGGCCGTCCTAGCTTATTTCCAATGGAGCAGAACTTAAAACTCCGCCCTGACGACGGGAGTCCACCAGTAGATGCTTCTACCTATCGTCGATTAATTGGGCGCCTATTATATCTCACTGTCACACGACCAGACATAGTATACTCTGTCAGCCAGCTCAGTCAGTTCCTTAGTGCTCCGCGACAAACTCATATGGATGCTGCCATTCGTGTGCTTCGGTATTTAAAGCATACGCCTGGTCAGGGCATTTTTCTTTCATCTAATGATGACATCACGTTGACAGGCTTTTGTGACGCTGACTGGGCTGGATGCTCTTTTACTCGTCGTTCAAGTACTGGCTATTTTATTATTCTCGGAGCATCACCCATCTCATGGCGAACAAAGAAACAATCTGTAGTTTCACGCTCCTCTGCTGAAGCAGAATATCGTGCTATGGCAGTCACGATAAGCGAGTTATTATGGTTAAGATGGCTATTACAGGAACTCATGGTCCCTCAAAGGGATCCCACACCACTTTACTGCGACAACCAGGCGGCACGTCACATCGCTCTCAACCCTGTCTTCCATGAGCGAACCAAGCATGTCGAAATGGATTGCTATTTTGTACGCGAGAGAGTCACTAGCAAAGAGATCCAACCACAATACATTTCTACAATGAATCAAGTGGCTGATATATTTACCAAACCACTTGGGGCAGATCGATTTCATTTCTTACGTCGCAAGTTGGGTGTACGAGACCTGCACACTCCACCTTGAGGGGGAGTATTGAAGTTTAATAGTATTTGTATTGCTTCACATGTATTATTTTTATTTTAATACTATACATGTATATGTATTATTCCATTTACGTAGGAAAGTCTCTTGCATGGGACATGCACTCTCTCCTATCATTGATTGCTTCCTTTCCATGTATTATAAGTATCCGCACATACAATATATTTATGAGGAGGAGAACTTCTCCATTGCCTTTCATTTTTTTTCTCATATTATTGATATTATATCATTTATCAATTTTATCATGGTATCAGAGCCTAAATCCTGAGTACATACTCTCTATTCACAAACCTTGCCATACGTTTTTTTTTACTCCTTGTAAGCTATGGCAGTTGATGGTGAAACCAAGCCTGCCGGTAGTGAGTATGGCGATTTAGTCATAGACTCCATGTCAACCAAGACTAGAGGAACAATCCAAGCTGGTCATTATGATTCACGTGTTGGGGGCAGAGAGCAACGTTTACAAGGAAATCAAAACTATCATAGGCAACTTCCAGCTAAAGTGGCACACATGGATAGTCAAAATAAAAATGACGGTGGTGGATTCTCTGATGAGCAATTACACAGAATAGCTCAAATTATGAAATATGAGCTACACGACACAACACATGCCTCTACTTTATCAGCCCAGATAAATACAACACGTATTTCACTCAGAGATCGCTCTTGGATCATTGATTCTGGAGCAAGTGAACACATCATTTGCAATAATGATGGCCTCATTAACATTCAAAATCATATTTCACCAGCCATGGTCAAAATTCCTAATGGTGATTCAGCTCATGTTCACGCTATCGGTAGCCTACGCCTAGCCAATGGACTCCTACTGCAACGAGTCCTATATATTCCTGATTTTCAGTGCAATTTACTCTCCGTTAATCGGTTGATAAATGATTGCAATTGCACACTTACATTTTTTAATGATTTGTGTATTTTACAGGACTTACCCTCGAGGAAGCTGATTGGGGTGGGCAAATGCCGTGATGGTCTCTATTACCTAGAGTCAGCAGAAAATAAGGGGGTGGCAATGTCAGTTTCTGTCAATCTTGACTTATGGCATCAGCAGTTGGGTCATGCATCAGATCAAAGGTTACACAATATTGCTCATCTTCAAGGATCTAAACGAGCCCACAGCTTCTGTGACTCGTGTATTCGGGCAAAATAGACTCGTCTACCATTTCCAGTCAGTACTATTAAATCATCTCGTTGTTTTGAATTAATACATTGTGATATTTGGGGAGGCTATAATTGTGAGTCCATTACCGGGGCACGCTATTTCTTGACCATAGTTGATGATTTCACAAGAGCTGTTTGGGTCTATTTAATAAAAACTAAATCTGAGGTTCCCCAAACTTTGATTCAGTTTTTTAACATGGTTGGTACCCAATTTGAAAGGCGAATTAAAAGAATACGAGCTGATAATGGTGTTGAATTTCAAACCATTATTTTACTCGATTTTTATGGACAAAATGGAATACTGTTGGAAACGTCATGCACTGACACGCCCCAATAAAATGGTGTTGTTGAACGCAAGCACAGACACATACTAGAAGTTGCCAGGGCCCTCCGTTTCGAGTCAGGTTTACCCATCAATTTTTGGGGAGAATGCATTCTTACAGCTGTCTATATTATAAATAGACTCCCATCACCAATCATTTCAAATAAGAGTCCTTATGAAATGTTGTTAGGAAAATTACCAACTTATGACCATTTGCGGGTTTTTGGGTGTTTGGTATATGCACACAATAACAAACGGAAGGATAAGTTCAGCGAAAGGGGGAGTCCTTGTATTTTTCTTGGTTATCCAAATGGTCAAAAGGCTTATCGTGTGTTTGATTTGGAAAAACATGTCATGTATAGCTCTCGGGACGTCACATTTTGTGAATCAATTTTTCCATTCAAAATTAATTTTGACCCAGAATTGAATTTTGGAGCCATGATTGATAAAGTTTATAATCAAATTGTTAATCACAAATTGGACAAAATAATTCGATCTCACCCATTTTGTCCGGCATCTAGCCGATACATCTCTCGTGAGCTTCTCTCTCCAGCGGCGGCAAGTGGGACCCCTATGAGTAGCAGCCACATAAACTCTGAGCAACAGCTGCATGGGAGTCCATGTAATACGGGTCATTCATTTGGACAGCTGCAAGGTAACAACATGGAAGAAAATTCCAATTTTCTGGAGTGTACCACACCACACGTCACCTCCTTGGACCAAGTCAGTAACTCTCCCAGACTACAATCACATGGTCTCCATCCTCCAAATTTGGACATTACCTTCATATCAAATCAGGGTGATAGTGTGTTGATGGGAGAAACGCCGCCTCACGAAGATTTAAGTGGTAATCAGCATATTCATACCATGCTGCCTGGCCCACATGATACACGAAATCCGACTAATCCCCCAGTATCTCAAAATGAGCCAAAACGCAATAAAAGAATTCGGCAACCATCAACACGTCTGGTAGATTATGAAACTGATCTGCCACCCTCCCTTATTCCATCACTGTCCACCACCGATCATGCTAACTCCGTGGTATATCCTATTTCACATTTCATTAATTATGATAAGTTTTCTCCGACTCACAAAGCTTACTTAGCTGCCATCACAACACGTGATGAGCCTGAGCATTTCTCTCATGCAGTACAGGATCCATTATGGCGAGAAGCCATGCAAAAGGAAATTAATGCTCTCGAAGAAAATGACACTTGGACACTAGTCGATTTACCTCCTGGAAAAAAGGCGGTTGACTCCAAATGGGTTTATAAAATTAAATATAAACCTAATGGAGATGTGGAACGCTACAAAGCCAGACTTGTTGCTAAAGGTTTTACCCAGGTTGAAGGTGTTGACTTTCATGAAACTTTTGCACCCGTCGCCAAACTCGTCACTGTACGGTGTTTGTTAGCCGTTGCTGCTAAACGCAATTGGATTGTCCATCAATTGGACGTAAACAACGCATTCCTACATGGTGATCTTTCCGAGGATGTCTATATGCGTTTACCACAGGGTTTTATCAAAAGGGGTGATACACGTGTTTGCAAACTACACAAATCACTATATGGTCTTAGGCAAGCCTCTCGTAATTGGTACCACAAATTTACTGAAGCATTAGTCAGGATCAATTTTCATCCCTCACGAGCAGATCACTCCCTTTTTATTTTTAAAAGGGGATCAATTAATACTTTTGCTCTAATTTATGTGGACGATGTAATTTTGGCAGGGACTGATCTTGCTCACATCAACTTTGTCAAGAAATATTTAAATGCCAATTTTAGCATCAAAGACTTGGGAAAATTAAAATATTTTCTTGGCATTGAAGTCGCTCGCTCTCCAGAAGGTTTTGTATTAAGTCAACGCAAATACACTCTTGACATCTTAGCCGAATGTGGAACTCTTGCCGGCCGTCCTAGCTTATTTCCAATGGAGCAGAACTTAAAACTCCGCCCTGACGACGGGAGTCCACCAGTAGATGCTTCTACCTATCGTCGATTAATTGGGCGCCTATTATATCTCACTGTCACACGACCAGACATAGTATACTCTGTCAGCCAGCTCAGTCAGTTCCTTAGTGCTCCGCGACAAACTCATATGGATGCTGCCATTCGTGTGCTTCGGTATTTAAAGCATACGCCTGGTCAGGGCATTTTTCTTTCATCTAATGATGACATCACGTTGACAGGCTTTTGTGACGCTGACTGGGCTGGATGCTCTTTTACTCGTCGTTCAAGTACTGGCTATTTTATTATTCTCGGAGCATCACCCATCTCATGGCGAACAAAGAAACAATCTGTAGTTTCACGCTCCTCTGCTGAAGCAGAATATCGTGCTATGGCAGTCACGATAAGCGAGTTATTATGGTTAAGATGGCTATTACAGGAACTCATGGTCCCTCAAAGGGATCCCACGCCACTTTACTGCGACAACCAGGCGGCACGTCACATCGCTCTCAACCCTGTCTTCCATGAGCGAACCAAGCATGTCGAAATGGATTGCTATTTTGTACGCGAGAGAGTCACTAGCAAAGAGATCCAACCACAATACATTTCTACAATGAATCAAGTGGCTGATATATTTACCAAACCACTTGGGGCAGATCGATTTCATTTCTTACGTCGCAAGTTGGGTGTACGAGACCTGCACACTCCACCTTGAGGGGGAGTATTGAAGTTTAATAGTATTTGTATTGCTTCACATGTATTATTTTTATTTTAATACTATACATGTATATGTATTATTCCATTTACGTAGGAAAGTCTCTTGCATGGGACATGCACTCTCTCCTATCATTGATTGCTTCCTTTCCATGTATTATAAGTATCCCCACATACAATATATTTATGAGGAGGAGAACTTCTCCATTGCCTTTCATTTTTTTTCTCATATTATTGATATTATATCATTTATCAATTTTATCACCAAAAAATAATGAATCTTTGGCTCCATCATAAATAAGTACCTACCTAGATTTCGAGTCGAGAAATTCAAAAGTACCTACCTAGATTTCCAGTCGAGAAATTTGGGTTCTACACCAAAAAGACATGAATCCAAGGAGCCGTTGGGCATGTAATCATAAACCAGCAGCTTCTTATTCCCCTCAGAGCAGAACCCGCGGAGACGAATGAGGTTTAGATGCTGGATTGACCCGATCGTGCTCACTTCAGCCCTGAACTGCTTCTCCCCTTGGCTTATACTTTCCAGTTTCTTCACTGCAATTACAGAAGACGGATAATCTGGCAACGCCCCCTTGAAAACAGAACCGAAACCTCCAATCCCCAATTTTTCGGAGAAGTCTTTGGTTGCGTATTGCAAGTCTCTGTAAGAGAATGCAACAAGTGAACCCTCCATCGCCTTCGAAGTCCCAATGAGATGCCTCCGCCGTTTCCAGAAAATGACTCAAACTACCCCAAACAGAACCAAGATGACAACAAGAACAGATCCTGCAATTGCAACAATCCAGAGGGCCGCCTTTTCACTTTTTCGACTTGGAAATTCAGAAGCAGAAAGTCTAATATAGACGTTTTCCCGGCACCGCTATCTTGCGTGACCTTCTCAAGATTTTGGAGTTACCCAATCCAAAAGGAGCACCCATTGCTTACATCATAAGCATAGGCAGTGCATGAGCAGTTTCCCAAACAAAGAGATTCACAAAAGGAACCATTCCCAACGCTTACTGATTGTGGATTGTCTAGTGACTTCATCTGAGCTAATGGTTTAAACTTGTCTTTTTCTCCACACTGCAAACTTGTCTTCATTTGTAATGGAGCCAAAGATTCATTCTTTTTTGGCTTGACAATATGATGGAATAAAACAAAATGACTCACTAAAATGTCTGCGCTTCTTTGTTATGAAGCAACAGTCAGTCCATGCAATTTTGGACACGATTTTCACTATGGGTCATCCGGAAACAGTGTCTATGTGCGTTAGTACAGGGGTAAGACTGCGTACATCCGACCCCTTACCCCCACTATAGGTGGGAGCCTTTGCGGCACTGAGGTAAATGAAAATGAAAGGAAATGAAATGCAAGCTTGTCTTCCTCGTACAACCCCGGAATAATCAGCAATGCTCCAATCTCTGGCTGATGTTTTCTCAAAACCATCTAAACAGTCACAAAAGGGCAAGGAGTTTTGACAGGTGGAAAACGGGCCACAATAAGCGGGAACCTCACACTGTGGTTTAGGTTGTGACCAAAACAGGTTCCATTCTTTATATGTCTCCAGCCATGTGAGCTGCTTCATTTGACCAGAGATATCCACGACAAATCTTGACAAAATAGAAGGATTAAAGAGTGAATAAGTAAAATAGCTCTCATTAGCATTATCAATGTAGCTACAGTTGTAAAGGTAATTCGATCTCATTTCTGGGACCAAACTGAAAATATGGTTATTCCAGGGTCCGTTCGTCCAGTACTGCTCACTCCTGTTCCACCTTATGAGATACTGTTTTTGAATCGGATCCAGTTCGAGAGAATACAAACCGGGTGACGGATCCTCGGAATTTCTCCAGGAAGTCAGAAGATGTTTCTGCTTCGTCCGTTTGTCATACGCAATCTTACCTCCAGGCAGCCACGCATTGAGGAGCATTGGGATTTTTAGCTCATTGAGGAGCACCAAATTGCCGTCGACCATTCTCAGCTCTGCCGAGGTCTTATCGGAAATGGCGGTCTCTCTGTTCGCAACCCAGAGTACAGATTGAGGGTCGATGTTCCTGTACCATATGCCAACGTAGTATTTGGAAGTGGTTTGAAGAATCCAAGCTCGAAGTGTGAAGAAACAATGGTCTGGTCTCCGGAGAGGGACTGGTTTGCATGGATGGTGTCGGCGCCATGGGCAGTGAGGTAGGAAGAAAGGAAAAATGGAAGATGGAAGTAGAGCAGGATAGGAGTAATTCCTAATGAGCATAGCTTCAGTGGATTCGTGCACAGCTGGCTAAGAGGAGCTGAGGAAATCCCAACGGCTTTGTTTAAACAAGAAATAATTTATCCTAGAACGGAGTAAAAAATGGGAATCAAGCAATATAGAATCAACTATGGAAGAATTGATAACGAAAGGAATTTGATATATGATGGTCAAGAAGAAGGATCTTCACAATATGCTTTTGAATTACAATGTAGAGACTGAGTGTCTGTGTATTCGTAACTGAATGTGCTGATTACATAGAGCCTCTAGATATTTATAAGAGATTCATTTAATGCACTTTTGTCCGTTGACGACATGTTCCGACCGTTACGACGACATGTCGGACCGTTACGACGACATCAATATCGTCATTATTGCATCATCAATTCTGGTCAGCCCTTTGAGTAACCTATGTCATAATTACAATAACTACTCTTATTATATACATAAAATTGCCCAGATTTAATTAGCTAGCATTACTCCTAATGAATGCGTCATTGATTGCCACGGTCAACCATTTTTGAAATGTAGTCCAGGCCGCCCAACTCGTGTACCAATAGGCTTATGATTGATTTTTGCTTTTCGAGGAATTTTTATGTATTGTGTGGTGCTCTGACTGACGAGTCAATAGGTGAAATTGCCACATGTGCCATCTTTAAATGGAAAGGTCTGTGCCACAGAAGCAGTACCTCCAATTCTATCTTGTTGTAGGCCCATATTTATTACACTTGTCTTTGGTGTACACCCCTAGGGCCCCACTTACACCCGCCTTACATTCTACATTTCTACTCCGTATTTATTTACTCTTTGGGACTAAGATCATTTGGGGTGGTGCAAGAGTCTAAATGTCAAAAATGGACTCCGTCGGTATGAAAACAGTGTTTTGACTCTTATTTTTCTGCATTCCAGCACCGTCAATTAAATACACTCTGCACATTTTTTTAGATATCAATTTAGTAAAACATTATTTAAATTATTATAACTAACTTCTTCTTTTAAATTTTTTATCTGAATTATTATGAAATAAAAATATACACATTTTGATGTAAAAATAAATAAATTTCATTAATTTTTTTAACATTTTTCGGTTAACAAAAATGAACATAGAACAAGTAAAGTTTGATTGCGGAATAGTGAGAAATTTGTGGAGATCCGTGAATTAAAAACTTGTGTTTCTTGTTATTTTAGATTAAAAAAAATGTCAACAATTATAATTTCAGATTATTTTTTTCATTTTATATATTGCATATTGGTGTCATATGAAAGATTATAAAAATTCATGAATTTTGATATATGTTTTGAAAAAATTGAATAAAAAATAAAAAAAGTTAAGAGAGTTTTTAAAAAATTGTGATTTAATGATGTCACTATGACATCATCAAATTGTATAGCTCCTGCGCTCCACGGGAGGACAATGCTTGATTTTCCTCTGTTCCCTTTTCTTTAGACTCTTGTCAGCATGGGTCTTATTTTAAAGACCCTCTATCTTATTTGCCCATATTTAACCCATTTCTAACATACCACTACACATCATTAGGAGTCCAAAATTTTTAAATTTAACATTTTGGATTCCTAAAACTTTACCACTCTAAATGGTCTAATAAAAAATAGGCGGGCCTATTTGATCCTTTCAGAGTTTAAAAAGATTTGGAAGGTAATAGCCTTTGTTAAAAATTTGTCCATATCTTTAAAACAAAAATTTTTGGTCATTTCCTTGATCAACTAGACTTCCTCGTTCCTTGAACAATTTATCAAAACTGTGGCACCAAAATGTTGGAAGTCATCAACAAAACAATGTAAATAAAATAATTTAGAATATGACTCGTTCCAAGGGAATCTCTTCGCAGCATCTCATCATGACTTGATCAAACCATTGCCCTATAACCCTGTTATTCTTAATGGCAAGTCTTCCTACAAAACTAGCCCGTCAATTAAGATTTCATCCATACTTGTTACTTTTGTTCGAGCTAAATGGGTAATTTATTCTATTAGAGGAGGTATGCTTGGGTTCCATATAAGATTTAAATCTCTCAAAGATGACCTTAAAAGGTGGAATCAAGAAGTCCATGGAAACATGTTTGATGCGGTTCCCTTGGGAATTCCAACAATATTTTTAATCGATACTAATGAATAATAATATACTACCTCCGTCCAATTTTGATAGTATAACTTTTTGTGCGTAACTTAAGGGCCTTTCTCATTTAATTACCAAAGTTAAAATTGATGCATCAAAATCTATAAAGATAAATACAGGCCACACTGCTACACATATGAGTATAATTCAAGAAAAAGAACTAAATGAATTGATAGTGCTATTAGTGATTTACTGAACCAATCCATCCACTGATTAGAAAATAGAAATAATAGTAGGCACACAAACCCTTCCAAAAACAGGAAAGAGGAATATATTTTTGGTACATACCCAGAAGGAGAGTAAGAAGAAAAAATCATATGAGAGGGCTATAGTTCTATCAAGTTGAAGAAGTGCCATTTTTGGGCTGAGAAAAAAAAGCATTCGTAGAAGCCTCGGTGTGAGTTTGTAAACTGCTTTGGCTTTGCCCGGAAGACAACGATTCGGTGAAGTAAACAATGGGCTGTCCGACACTATCATCATCAGCAAAAACCTGAAGAGAACGAGGGACCGGTGGCATCTTCACATCCAAAACCCCTTCAAGAATCTGAACCACCGCACCCATTGATGGCCTTTGGTTCTCATCATCTTGGATGCACCAGAAAGCAACGCTGCATATTCTGGAAACCTCTTCTGGATCTGCAACTCTATCAAGCTTTGGATCAACCAGGCAGAGAACGTCGCCTCCTTCAAGTATGACTCGGGCAGCGCAACAAGGGAAGAATTTCACTTTCCCGTCTCTGGAATGGTCAGAGTTCCGGGTTCCGGATAAGAGTTCAAAGAGCACCATTCCATAGCTGTAAACATCCGCTTTGGGAGTGATGGCCACTCCGGTTATCCATTCAGGTGCAAGGTAACCTCTGGTTCCTCTCATTGTGGTCAGCACTCTACTGAAGTCGCGCCCCACCAGCTTTGCCATACCGAAATCTGCAACTTTAGGACACATTTCAGAATCAAGAAGAATGTTTTCGGGCTTTATGTCGCAGTGTATGATGTAATCCCGGCACTTCTCATGCAGATAACTCAATCCTCTTGCTATCCCCAACGCGATGTGGTACCTACAGCAATATTAAATATTAGGACTCCTTATATTCGGCATCTGATCTAGAACTCTAAAATTTGGGTATTCGGCATTACTTTTAAAACATTAAATAATAGTGTTAGTTGATACAACAGTTCTACACTTCTACACAAGTATCTTTTTAAAAATAAAAAAGCTAGCAAATCGAGTTAAAGTAATAAATGCTATAGGTAATAAATTATTACACCATTTGAACACATGTGTCTTTGCATTTTTTCATGAACACTCTGTGGAAAGAGAAAATATAAGAGGAACTAAATTATATGAACACATGTATCTTTCATGAACACTTGTAATGTGAAGAAAGAACAATAAATATACATGAGGCAGAAGGTCTTAAATATATCTATTACTAACTTTTCCTGATTATATTTCTATTCCTAATGAGTATGGACTGATAGGATGTGCTTTTTTAAGGAAACGGACTGATGTGTTATATCACCTTATATGTATTCTATTCAAGTCGTATACTTTTCATTGAATTATACAAATTCTAAAGTGCTTACCTAGATTTCCAGTCGAGAAATTTGGGTCCTTCTTCTACACCGAAGAGGCATGAATCCAAGGAGCCGTTTGGGATGTAATCATAAACCAACAGCTTCTTATTCCCTTCAGAGCAGAACCCGCGAAGACGAACTATGTTTAAATGCTGGACTGCCCCGATCGTGCTAACTTCTGTCCTGAACTGCTTCTCCCCTTGACTTATGCCTTCCAGTTTCTTCACTGCAATTACCGAAGACAAAGAATCGGGCAACGTCCCTTTGTAAACAGAACCAAAACTTCCACTCCCCAATTTCTCCGAGAAGTTTTTAGTTGAGTATTGCAAGTCTCTGTAAGAGAACGCAACAAGTGAACCCTCCATCGCCTTCGAGGTCCTAATGAGATGCCTCCGTCGTTTCCAGAAAATGAAGAAAATAACCCCAAACAGAACCAACATGAAAACAACAGATCCTACAGTTGCACCAATCCAAATGGTCGCCGCTTTACTTTTTGCACTTGGAAATTCAGATGCAGAAAGTCTTATATTGACGGTTGTCCCGCCACCGCTGTCTTGTGTGACGTTTTCCATATTATTGAGTTGCCCAAACCAAACAGAGCACCCATTGCTTACATCATAAGCATAAGCAGTGCATGAGCAGTTTCCCAAACAAAGAGATTCACAATGGGAACCATTCCCAACGCTTAGAGATTGTGGGTTGTCTGGTGGCTTCATCTGAGGTAAGGATTTAAACTTGTCTTTTCCTCCACACTGCAACTCCATCTTCCTCGTACAACCGCCAGAATAATCATCAAGACTCCAATCTCTGTCTGATGTTTTCTGAAAACCATCCAAACAGTCACAAAAGGGCAAGGAGTTTTGACAGGAGGAAAACGGGCCACAATAAGCATGAACCTCACACTGTTTTCTAGGCTGTGACCAAAACAGATTCCATTCTTTAGATGTCTCCAGCCATGTTAGCTGCTTGATTTGACCAGAGATATCCATGACAAATCTCGACAATAGAGAAGAAGGAACATTTAGTGAATAAGTAAAATAGCTCTCGTCAGCATTATCAATGTAATTAAAGTTGTAAATGTAATTCGATCTCATTTCAGGGACCAAACTGAAGATATGGTTATTCCAGGGTCCGCTAGTCCAATACTGCTCAGTCCTGTTCCACCTTATCAGGTACTGTTTTTGAATCGGGTCCAGTTCGAGGGAATACAAACCGGGTGCCGGATCCTCGGAATTTCTCCACGAAATCAGAAGATGTTTCTGTTTCGTCCGCTTGTCATACGCAATCTTACCTCCGGGCAGCCACGTATGCGTCGGGTAATCAAAGCTCTGCCAAAGGGGGGTCGCCGCCGTAGAATTAGGACCCGAATCCGACCCGCCGGTCAAAACCAGATTACCGCTGTCGAGAAGAACCGCGGAAATGGAATTGGAGGCGACGGCGGAGCTTAAACTGGTGTTCCAGAGTGTGATTTTCAGCTCATTGAGGAGCACTAAATTGCCGTCGACCATTTTCAGCTCCGCGGAGATCTTATCGGATATGGCGGTCTCTCTATTGGCAACCCAAACTACAGTTTGAGGGACGATGTTCCTGTACCATATGCCAATGTAGTATTTGGAAGCATTACCTGGTTTGAAGAATCCAAGCTCGAAGTATGAAGAAACAATGGTCTGGTCTCCGGAGAGGGTCTGGTTTGCATGGATGGTGTCGGCGCCATGGGCAGTGAGGTAGGAACATAAGAAAATGAAAGAGGAAACCAGAGCAGGGGAGTAATTCCTGATGAGCATAGAGTCAGAGCAATCCACGAAGAAGAGGCCGAGGAAATCTGAATGGCGTATGAATGCTTCTTTTGTTTCATGTGAAAATAAGGTCAAATTTTGCTCTCACAGTCTCACGTACTGCCACGCCATTAAATGCAAAGCCAGCAAAGGTACTGCGCCTCAAATACAGGTACGACAATTCGAATTTCACTTTTTTTTATTGAATTTTCGAAAAATTGATTTCAAATTTTATAAAAAAAAAATTGATTTAGATTTTACCGTGGAGTGCATTGTTTGAACACGGTATTGTTTTGATTTCAAATTTTATAACTCCTTCCTCCCTCCGATTCTTAATTAAGTTGCTAATTTGACTTCACACATATTAAGAAATAAATTTGATTTTACCGTGGAGTGTATTGTTTGAACACTGTTTGACACTATTTAAATACTGTTTGGCATTGTTTGACACTGTTTTGGGGTAAATCATTTGCCAAATAAGGAAAGGTTTGAAGTAGAAACTTTAATATGGACCATTCCAGAAAGGAAAATAGGAACTTAATTACGGGACGGAGGGAGTATATCTTTAGTTCAAATTAGAACTCGTTTTGTAACACTTAAATTGACCGATGAAATTTATGAAGTTCTCACTAAAATGATTGGATTAATTGATTCGGGGATTTATGAAAAATTACATCTAAGACGTAGTATATCTTTTATAAATAATACTATCTTCGTCACCCAATTAAGTTCTCACTTTTCTTTTTGGGCAGTTCCTAAATTAAGTTCATACTTCAATACTTTCCTTATTTGGCAAATAATTTCCATCAAAACAGTGTCAAACAGTGCACTCTACAGTAAAGTCAAATTTATTTTCTTAAAACTTGTGAAGTCAAACACATAACTTAATTAGAAGACGGAGGGAGTATAAAGAAACAATTAGCAAAATTTAAAACTTGGTGCGAGTACATGGAATATAAAACTTTGTACACCATATACTTTATGTTTGTGACCGTAGCTTCCACCGTAGGCTTTATGCCCTCAAAACAAACAGCATTCCGAGTCCTCCATGTCCAATAGATAGTATAGCAAAATGCAATTATCACGGCCTTAGCTTTGATGTGTGCTCCATTGTGTTCCTTCTTGATCCACTTCACTGCACGTGAGAGTGTAGTCATTTGCCTACCAATTCCAAGCCAAGACCTTATCTTGCTCCATATCCTACTTATGAAATGTCACTCAAAATGTAGGTGTGACATCATTTCTGGATCAGCCTTACAAAAAGGACAAATGTTAATCAAATAAGGAACCCCAAGTTGTCATAAGTAGCTAGCCTGTTCCAAAAGGCAAGCCACGTGACAAAAGAGAACTTAGGTGGTATGTACGGTTGCGGATTCCTTTTTATTCTTAGTAGTTCATCAACCTTAGAAGAACACAATTTCCCACCAAAAGCCGTAAGTTAAGCTAATGCCTCATTAAGGGAGGTAAATTTCCCTACAATTAAATCACGGATAATGACAAATCTTTTCATTAATTGGGGGAAAAAAAGATGACACCCCATCCCTGAGGGCCCCCCAACACCGACCGGACGGCACGATGGGAGGATGTAAATTGGACTATAATCACAATTTGACAGATAGAGAGTGGGGCTCTGTCCCCGGTACTTACAGAGGCCCTATGCCTTTTTCAGCACAGTAACCCCTCATCGCAGTTGTCGGGATTCGAACCCGAGACCTAACCCTTGTGGCACTCTCTTGCTACCAGTTGAGCTACGCCCATCGGTAAAACTAAGGTATGGGTAAACTTTTTATAGTGACTAGCTCCACCGCTTTCACGGCCCCTTACCCCAGAAACCCAACTTTGGCTTGGCCCTACGGGTTAGTATACACCGCTTGGCCCTACCACTTGAAGGGTTTTTTGTGGGAGCATAGTTCCACCGGTGCTAGTGGGACTCAAACACGAGAGCTCTCCTATGCAGGGGTAACCTCACAATCAGTTGGGCTGGAAGTGATGGTTTTTCCATTAATTGGGAGTCTCTATTGTGTGGAACAAGGGGCCCAAGGTTATGTACAGAGCACGTTACAAAGAGAAAATTTTCAGGTTTGATATCCAATTTTAAAAGCTTTACCTAATACCAAGTACTATTATTCGTATGAAATGGTTTAATCATCATCTTCTAAGTTGGTATAGAAGCTCCAAATTAGAGGCTTTTAGGTAAAAGAAGAGTCTGACTCTCACGAAATGGTTTAGACTCTTTTAATAAATACTGGATGTACCATATGCGTATTTTTGGTTTTTTCAAAGAAAACATGTGGATATACCGTTTGCCGTTTGGCTTTGGCTGGAAAGGATTTGCAGAAAACCTTTAGAGAAGTCTTTTGGGTTGATTATTTTCCTTCCAAAATCTCACAAGATTATGAAGACTACATGTTCGTTAAAAATCCTAGGAGACATACGAGAGTTGTGGTTAGCGGGTTCAATAGCCCAAATGACATCCCGGCTACCGTGTATCGAATTGTGCTTTAAGGGTATCGACATGACATAGTTAAAAGGCAACGCTTAAAATAATATAAATACTAAAATTTGAATTCTCTGGAATTAGAAATTTTAACCCTTGAGATAAAAACTTATTGAAAACTGAATAGTCTTTTTATTTAAATGTTAATTTGTACTTTTAAGTTATATTTTGTGAATATCAGATCACTAAAAATAAAGAGGTTTTTATTTCAATATTACTAATTTTGAATGAATTACCAAAAAGTGAGCACTTTTAAAAAGAGGCAAAAAGTGATAAGAAGGTCATATTAATGTCATTCTCAGATTTTAATGTCACTATCTTGTTTTAATGTCACTATCGAATGTCACTGTCGCTAGGGCTGAGCAAAACCCGATCCGACCCAAAAAACCCGATATTTTTTTCGGATATTATCCGAACCGAAGTGGATATCCGACCCGAAAAACCTGAAACCGAAAATCCGATTAGTATTGGGCCTAGACCGGGTGGCGGGTAGGGTTTGTGAAATCCCAACCCGACCCGCCCGAATATCCGAAATATATGTTAGTGTGTACTTTGAATATTTAAATTAATACTTGTGTTCAATTATTTGTGTAATTTTTTATGCAATTTGTATTAAATTATTTGTGTAAATTGAATGTGTAGTGAACTAGTGTGTACAACTTTTGTTAAAGTGGCATTCCAACACTTTAATTATCCAATTATAATGTGTTTTGATATAACCAAAATATCCGAAATATATTAAATTATGTAGTGTGTACTTTGAATATGTTAAATTAATACTTGTGTTCAATTATTTGTGTAATTATTTGTGCAATTTGTGTTAAATTATTTGTGTAATTTGAAAGTTTAGTGCACTAGTGTATACAATTTTTGTCAAAGTGGCATTTAAACACTTTAATTATCCAATTATAATTTTTTTAATATAACCGAAATATCCGAAACCCGACCCGATATCCGATAATATCCGACTTCAAAATATCCGAAATACCCGATTTGAAATATCAAAGGGTCGGGCCTAGTATTTAAATCAAAAAACCCGAACGGGTTTAGGGTTCGCAAACCCGACCCGCCCGAACCCGACCCGTGCACACCCCTAACTGTCGCCACCCGCCCGTGTCACTACCGCTACCGCCCGTGTCACTGCGGCCACTGCCAGTGTCACTGCAGCCACCGCCCGTGTCACTGCGGCCACCGCTTGTGTTGCTGTAGCCATCCCACAGGCCACACCGCCCAATTACGCCGCCGACACCGCCCAATTAAGTTGCCGCGCTGCTTCATCCAGTGATAACCGCCTAACCTCACAGGCCCCACGCCCCAACTTGCACCATCCCGAACACCCCTCCCTAGCTGCAGTCATGGTCACCACTCTGGCCGGCCACCACCAGTGACCCATCGTGCCCACACCACCACCAAACACCACCGCCGCCCAACCCCGATCTAACTCCGCCATCCCCTCCTGCCCCAACCAACCTCCTCTCCGACCAACTCCACCCCCTCCAGCCATCCAATCACTGCCACAACCAGCTCTGACCACCCTAACCAGCACAAATTCACCCCTCCCAGGCTCACCTTTGATAGCCCACCCCATCCCAACCACCGGCCAATGAACCGTAGTAGCCGCCCTCCCCTAGATCTGGTCGCTTGTCATTCAACGTGTCAGATCTGAAAGATGACGAGGCGGTGAAGCGGACGTGAGAGGCGAGGCGGAAAAGCGTCAAATCCGAGCACGTCGTCATCGGATGAGAGCGGATGACGTCGTCAAATCCGAGCTCGTCGTCATCCGAATTCATGAAAATCGTAGCCAAGCGCTAAAGATGGAGGTGTTGGTTCATCTGTAGAAGCTCGCCGGTGGAGTTGTTGGTTCATCTGTAAAAGGTTGCCGGTGGAGGTGGTGGTTCAATTTGATGAAGCCGATGGAGGTGGTGGTTCAATTTGATGAAGCCGATGGAGGTGTTGGTTGATGAAGATGGGAGATGAAGTCTGCGTTGAAATCTGCGTTGAGGGATGTTCGATGAGGCTGTTCAATGAGTTAAAAGGTCGGTTACTTTATGGGGATTTCTAAAAATGCTCATATTTTGATCTAACAAAACCTGGGAAGTATTATTCACGCCATTCTTTCAAAAATAAACTTTCATTTGTTGGTTTTTACTTTGGTGTATGTCAAACTTAATAGCCCAATATATTTTAGGATATTATTGTACCTTCCATATTATGATTTTATTATAAATATACCATGAGGCTACCTAGTTTGGTAAGCCATTATTCTCTCAATTGTATTCTATCATATGGTATCAGTCGCACGGTTCTAAACCCTAACCCTCATGGTGGCTTCAACTTCCGACTCCACCTCCACGATTGATGCTCGGCCACCACCTATAACTGAGGCACCATCTTCTTCGATCGGGACTCAAGGCGTGCCGCTTTCCACCATGGCCGCGGCAGAAGTTCCGTCTCAGACGCCCGCATCAACCTTGTTGCAGGAGCAGCCTTTCTCCATGCCGCCATACTCATCCTGGGAATCCCGGACCTCCCAGCCGGCTTCCTCTTTTGCGTTGTTCAAAATGCCCGATCCTTTTACATGGATTCCTTCACCAACTGTCCCG